GCTATCTTCATTGTCTTCATCATCATCATCTTCCATGTACCCCAAACCCGCTTCCCTGTTGCATGTTTCTCCATTGACGGAGTCAAAGCACAAGGTTGGGGTAGTGGTGGCTGCACCCCCTAGAATGGCATGCAGCTCCGTGTAGAAGCGGCATGTCTGCGGCTCTGCCCCAGCCCTTCCGTTTGCCTCTCTGGCTTTGTGGTAGGCTTACCTTAGCTCCTTAATTTTCACGCGGCACTGCTGTGCGTCCCTGTTATGGCCTCTGTCCTTCATGGCCTTTGAGACCTTTTCTAATATTTTGCCATTTCGTTTACTGCTACGGAGTTCAGCTAGCACTGATTCGTCTCCCCATATGGCGAGCAGATCCCGTACCTCCCGTTCTGTCCATGCTGGAGCTCTTTTGTGATCCTGGGACTCCATCATGGTTACCTGTGCTGATGAGCTCTGCGTGGTCACCTGTGCTCTCCACACTGGGCAAACAGGAAATGAAATTCAAAAGTTTGCGGGGCTTTTCCTGTCTACCTGGTTAGTGCATCTGAGTTGAGAGTGCTGTCCAGAGCGGTCACAATGAAGCACTGTGGGATAGCTCCTGGAGGCCAATAACGTCGAATTCCATCCACACTACCCCAAATCTGACCCGCAAAGGCCAATTTTAGCGCTAATCCCCTCAGAGGTGGAGTAAAGAAACCGGTTTAAAGGGCCCTTTAAATCGAAAGAAAGGGCTTCGTTGTGTGGACGTGTCCAGGCTTAATTCGATTTAACCCTGCTAAAGTCGACCTAAACTCGTAGTGTAGACCAGGGCTTAATAATTTTGAACTCTTTGCAGGGTGGGCAGAAACTGCTCCACCTCAAGTGATTTCAGTTCTGACTGATTATTTAAAATAGTAAAGAGGCTCCTAATGAAGCTTCTATAGCTCTTTATTTGAACAGTGGGGAGGAATAGGTTAAACCAGTCTGGAAAGGACCCTAGTGGAGGTGCCACACACCTCCTGGCTAGAACACCTGTCCTCACCCCTTTTACTTCCACAGACCTCTGGCATTTGAGCCCCTGGCTTAATGAGGTCCTTTCAGCTGAGGGTCACCCTCTCATTTAGGACAGGTTAAGCACAGTTCATAGAATATCAGGATTAGAAGGGACCTCAAAGCAGGACCAATCCCCAGACAGATTTTTTGCCCCAAATGACCCCCTAAAGGATTGAATTTACAACCCTGTGTTTAGCAGACCAATGCTCAAACCACTGAGCTATCCCTCCCCCCTTTATTCACAATAATGCCAACATTGGTAACAGCATTTCATTACCCCTGCATTCAGTACTAAGATGATTTGTAACCCAACACCAGCCAAAGTTGATCACTTTGAGCAACACAGCAGATAACTAAGCAGAGTAGGTGTGTTCATGTAAATACAGTTTGCTCTTGAAGTCTCTCTCCCTCCCACCTAGCTGTCAGGGAAGAATTCAGCAGACCATGCTTACATCTAGTTTGGAAAAGAGGAGATTAAGGGGGGGACATTATAGCAGTCTTCAAATACTTGAAAGGCTGCCATAAAAAAGATGGAGAATAGTTGTCCTTTCTTGCCACAGAGGGCAAAACAAAAGGCGATGGGTTCAAACTACAGCAGTGCAGATTTAGATGAAATCTCAGGAAAAACTCCCTACCTGTAAGAACAGCAGGACAACGGAACAGACGCCCAGGTTGGTCATGGAAGCTCCTTCCCTGGAGGCTTTCAAAAGGAGGCTGGATAGCATCTGTCTGGGATGGTTTAGGGTACATCTGCACTACCCGCCGGATCAGCGGGTAGTGATCGATCTATCGGGGATCAATTTATTGTGTCTAGTGTAGACATGATAAATCGATCCCCGATCACTCTGCCGTCCACTCCTGTAGTCCACCGCGGCAAGAGGCGGAAGCGGAGTCGACGGGGGAACGGCGGCAGTCGACCCTGCGCCGTGAGGATGTGAGATAAGTCGACCTAAGATACGTTGACTTCAGCTACTCTATTCTTGTAGCTGAAGTTGCGTATCTTAGGTCGATCCCTCCCCCCACCAGTGTAGACCATGCCTTTGACACAACTCCTGTATCTTGGCAGGGGATTAGACTAGATGACCCTTGTGGTCCCTCCTAGCCCTATGATTCTAAATTGGTAGAATTTTTCTATCTTGTTCCCTGCAACTCAAGCAACTGGGTCTGGAGTGAGAGGTTCCCCCAAATCCAGGGGGCATGTGATGTTCCCAGTTGGAACATTCATATAACCCTTTTTTAGACACGTGCTCACTCAGAACTCAGTAAATACCCAGGGTGCGGACACAACAGGGATGGCTCCACTCCATGGTTATTAGAAATGAATCCATTAAACAGCAACAAGACGCTTTCAAAGGGCTGCAGCTCGTGGGCACGCTATAGTGAACATGCTGAAACACCAGGGAATGAGCCGCGCTCCAAACATCACTGTAACAACGTCATTAAGCCAGAGCCAGTAAAATCATGCCTGTAAAAGCTATTTTTAAGATTGGTTATTTTTCAACAAACAGGTATTTAGGCACCTAATTCCCATTGATTACCATGGGAATTAGGCATCTAAATACCTTAGAGGCTCTGGGCTTTGGTCTCTCTGTGCCTCAGTTTCTCATCTGTGCACTGGGGATAATAGCTCTGCTCTGCCTCCTGGGAACATGTGAGGATAAACGTGTTAGAGATCATGAGGTGCTCAGGGACTGGCGCCAGAAAGGACTCTCGACAGACAATGCTGTGAGTTTAAGCAGCATATTTCCAGCTGAAGATCCCATCCCTACAGGACAGCAGACATTCCCAGTGAGAATCACTACCATGCCAAGGGAGTGGGGAGAATCGGACCCCTGTCTGTACTACCCCCTGGGAGTCAATGCCCCAGGGCTCAGGTGGGTGACGGGGCAACCCAGCTGACAGACTCACTCACTCCCCTCCCTCTCCACAGAGATCCGGGAAGCCTTCAAAGTGTTCGACCGGGATGGGAATGGCTTCATCTCTAAGCAGGAGCTGGGCACGGCCATGCGCTCCCTGGGCTACATGCCCAATGAGGTGGAGCTGGAGGTCATCATCCAGCGGCTGGACATGGATGGTAAGTCTTACCTCTTCTGTCCCTTCTGCCCCTGGGCGTAGCGCTGCCCCTCAGACCCTAGGACCTTCCTGGGACCCATCCCTGTGACAGGCCTGCGGGGGCACAGCAGAGAGCTCCCTCATTCCCCTGGGACTTCTCCCACATTCCTTCCTACTCCATCCTCTCTCCCTCTTTCAGCCCCTCCCCCGCTGGTCCCCAGCGCCCCTGCTGTCAGTACATGGGGCTAGGCATGGGCCTGGTGTGCAAAGCAGAAAGCCCAGTGGGGGAAGCAGCAAACCAGGGCTGTCACAAGAGGCCAGCACTTCCCCAAGAGTGAGCATGGCTGGACTGGGAGTGGGTGTGGCCAGGGAGGCTGGGGGATGCCCTCCCAGGGAGGGGGAAGGCAGAAATACTGCCTGCCCCCTGGAGGTGACTCCCCCCTTCCTGGATGCTGTCCCACACACTCCATATCTTCCTGTGTCCGTGGGGTGACTCCAGCCCAGAGGAGCAGAGATGGCAGGGCCACGAAAGCCCTCCTGGGTGGCCCATTCTGATTCCCTATCAGGGCAGGACTTCTCACTGCCTCGCTGGGGTCTGGGTACCTGCAGCATCTCAGCCAGCAGGGAGAGTCACAGATTACAGAAATGGGGTCATAGGGGCTGGAACTAGGGATGCTGGGGAGGCTGCTGCACCCCCTGGCTGGAAGTGGTTTCCATCATATCCAGGGTTTACAGTTTGGTTCAAGGGCTCTCAGCCCCCCACTATACAAATTGTTCCAGCGCCCCTGAATGGGGTCGTCGTCTACCCAGCTCAGCCTGCTCCCCATGCCCCCAAACTATCACAATCACACTGCCCCAAGCAAACCCCTCTCTGCCAGAGTGTCCCTATGCTCTCTCCACTGAATTCCTCACTCCCTCTCCTACCATTGCTGTCATCTCTCTCCCATCTTTTGCTGTCTCTTTCCGGCTAGCTTTCTTTCACATTGTCTTTCTCATTTTGGGTTTCTCTCCAGCTCCCTCACCTGCCACCTCTTCATCTTTCACTTTCTCCCGCTCATTCACTGGCTCCATCCCTCCATGTCTCATGGCTCTCTGGCCATCTCTCAGGGTCCCTCATATCCCCCCGAGTAACTCTCATTGACACATATCGTGCAGCGGGGAATCGTACCCCTTAGCATTCTCCTCCTCCCTTATCTTTCTCCTTCTCTCCATCTCTCCTACGCTGCTCCATTCTCGGTCTTCCTGCGCTCCGCTGTCTCGCTGGCGTGACTCTAATGCAAGCCGCATTGCCAAAGCTATAACAGATTTGATGTCACCAGCTAAAGAGACTATTTTCTTTGAGAATGGATATAATCTCTCTGCTGTAAAAGGTGACAGCTCAATGAAATACGCTCAGGTGTGTGAGTGTGACTGCAGCTGTCTGAGTATGGGATGGACGTGCTGCCAGAGCTGCCTTCCTCCGCAGCCACTCACGCTGCCTCTGCCCTCTGCCGCAGCGGAGATGGAGCTATGCTGTCAGCTCGCCAGCTCTTGTCTTGGAGTACCTGAGCCAGTGGGAAAGGAAATGCAGCTGATCCATATTCCAGGGGCTTCTCATTTTCTCTAGTTATTTTCCATTTTTGCTGCCATCTCCTCATTGCAAACTCCTGATCCTTCTTGCCCTTTTACATTTTAAACATTTGTTAAAGAGGTGGACGGCAGCTAGTTCTCAGTGGTAGCAGATGACAGAACAAGGAGCAATGGTCTCAAGTTGCAGTGGGGGAGGTCTAGGTTGGATATTAGAAAAAACTTTTTCACTAGGAGGGTGGTGAAGCACTGGAATGGGTTACCTAGGGAGGTGGTGGAATCTCCATCCTTAGAGGTTTTTAAAGCCCGGCTTGACAAAGCCCTGGCTGGGATGATTTAGTTGGGGCTGGTCCTGCTTTGATCAGGGGGTGGGACTAGATGACCTCCTGAGGTCCCTTCCAACCCTGAGATTCTATGATTCTATTATTCTAGTTATAGGCTCAATATTTAGATTTTTACAACAGGATTTACAAAATCCTAATAGGAATAGAAAAATTTGTGTAAGATGTGGCAATGTGTGTACCGCAGTGCCTTCCGGGATGTGTCCATCACAGGAAAAGTAGCCTACTACTGCTACCAGGTAATGATATTGTTCCTTTAGTTCAAGTGATGGAGCACTGTACTGTGGATCTGAAGGCTTAGGGTTCAAACCCCTGCTGAGTCCTGCAGGGTTTTTTTTTTTTTTTTTTTAACTGAAAGCAGTTTTAAATGCACACCTTCCCCTGCAGAATGGGGAACCTAAACATCACAGTGCTATATTCATCCCCAGAACCAGGAAATGAAATTGACCAGCCTACAGTCGTTTCACTGTCAAAGCTGAGTGCAGTGAAAAAATGAGCAACATGAACAGTGAACAATAAATTAGATTTCAATAAACCCTTTCAGGTTTAATCATCTAAAGTGCTCTTGGTAACAAGGATGAGGGGAAAATGCAGATATCTGTGTGCATGCATGTGGACTGTGTCCATTAGGGAGTCAGCCAGCGTAACATTGGAACCAGAGTGCAGTTTGATCTCCGTTTCCCTTCACACCATCACTCCCTCCCACACATCTCAAACCGGACCTGTAGTGAAGTCAGCTGTCCCTTCTGTGACTGGAGAGTCCAGGCCAGAACATAGGGAGACCCTGTGTGGCAAACCTGGGCAGTGCAGGCTGGGAGCTGCAGAACCAGAGAGAACTCCAGGGGGTGTCTGTGCCCAGCAGCCTTGTAAAAGAATTCCCTTGAACTCATTAAAGTTAAGTCCTGGCTCTTTTGCCATGAAGGATCCATCACTTTCCCTTATCTAACTGTTTGTTATCAGAACCCCTGGCACCAGAGAGCTCTGTGGCATGAGTCTGGGCTTGTTTTATGGCGGCCTTTGCCCTCCCTCCCAGTCTCACTGTGTCCTCCTCCCTTCCAGACTATTTACCATGCTGCCTCTAAGGCCACCCTCATCCTTCCCAGAAACCCTCATCAGCTCCCTTTAGTGCAACAGACTCAGCTCTCCCAAGCCCTGTAGCACCTCCTACATTTCTGAGGTTGTCTTCTGCTTTCCCAGCCACTCCCAGCTCTCCTCCCAATCCCCTCGTCTTCCTGCTCACCTTCCACCTTGCTGCCCTGTAGCCCTGGCAGGGCCTCTCACCTCCCCGTCAGGTTCCCTTTGTTTGACTCTTTGACCGCACTCCTGTCCCTGTTATTTCATTCATTGTCCCCCGGAATCACTTGGCTTCCAGGTCCTGTGGATCCTCCTCTTAGGCTGGGGGGAGGTCCTTTAGCAGAGTCCTTTAGCAGATCCTTCCTGGATCCCAATAGGATGAACCTCTCACCTCCTTCAAGTCTCTCCCTAAAACCCACCTCTTCCAAAAATACTTCCCCCTCCCTCTCCTCCTGGGCCATCGCTTCTCTCATCTGTGTTAGGAGGGGTAGAGAATATCTTTGCCTCTGTGTCTGTAAGGAGCTGGGTATTCTACGATGCACTATAAACACATAGTATAAATATTAATCATCATAATGATCATGGCGGCTGTGATGACATATGAGCTTCGTTTAGTGCAGGGGTAGGCAACCTATGGCACGCGTGCTGAAGGCGGCACGCGAGCTGATTTTCAGTGGCACTCACACTGCCCGAGTCCCGGCCACAGGCCCGGGGGGCTCTGCATTTTAATTTAATTTTAAATGAAGCTTCTTAAATATTTTAAAAATCTTATTTACTTTACATACAACAATAGTTTAGTTATATATTATAGACTTATAGAAAGAGACCTTCTAAAAATGTTAAAATGTATTACTGGCACACGGAACCTTAAATTAAATGAAGACTCGGCACACCACTTCTGAAAGGTTGCCGACCCCTGGTTTAGTGGAATTTAACGACCTGGTATGACAACTAATTTGCAGCCTGTTTCTCAAAGGCTGGGAAGAGCTAGGCATCACTGCCCCAGCCCAGCTCTGCTGCACTGGCTTTGATCAGCTGTGCTTCTGTCAGTGCAGTCTCGTGGGCGCGGTGTGATCCCAGACGGTGCCATGTAGCCCAGTGAGAGCTGGAGGGGATTGGAGAGCCTTAGGCCTGAGATCCAGAGCTGCTGGATTTGTTTCCTTGCAAGAGGTGATAACGTTACCAAGACCAACAGCAACATAAAGACTGCAGGGAACATGCTGCTAGAGAGACGCGTGTCTATTGCACATATACCACACTGTAGTAGGTCCTAGCCGGGGCTCGACCCTTCCGGGCGAGAGAGGAGCCACACCGACTCACTACTGTGGGAACAAGCAGTCAGTTAGTCCCAAAACTCCAGCTCTTTGGTGCAGAGTCGGA